AGTACTACAAAATGGCAAGAGCACCCAAGTACCCTGCTATGGGATGAGAAAAATAATCAAAAACAGTGCATACCTGTTGGTTAAGGTGCCAATACTCCAATGAGTATGGGCAGAACCAAGGATCAACCAATGTAGGATGAGCATATATGCAACGGAAGTCTGATAAACGGACTGACTCACATAGCATCACTCCACACACATACAATCGTGAGGTGGTGGGGTCTGAGCCATACATAGRAGATGCTCAGCCCCGTACACGCATACACAGATGAATGGGGGAGGAGAGACGAAGAGGTGGGGGGGAAGGTAGACAGCACCGAAAGTCACCGAAATAGAATCTGATAGGTCACCGATACGGTAGTCCAAGATGTCATCCAACAAGATCAAAATGTCGAGGACCATAGGTCACCAATGTCGGGGATACAGAGTCCAAATGTAACCGGTGTCTGAACTGTGATGTCGCCAAGTATCAACCCCAACGATCTCCAAGTCTCCAATCCGGTAAGTACCACAGTCTCATACCACCGAAGTCCAACACTGATCTCGGTCCAACTAGTATAAGTCTCCAATCTGAAGAAGAAGAAGAAGAAGAAGAAGAAGAAGAAGAAGAAGAAGGAGCCGAGGAGGAGAGAGAGCGAGAGGGGACTGGCGATGGGAGGGAGCACAGAAGCCTCCAACTCCCAATACCTCAGGCGGCTACAGCAGCCGGTAACCCAGTCGCCGCTGCTGCTGCTCGCTTGCTACTGCTGCGCTGCGCTGCTCCTCGCTGCTCCTGCGCTAACGATAGCGCCAGCGCTGATTAGCGCTGTACCATACCGTACCGGTAGAATGCCGGTAGGTCGATGCTGGACTGAGGCTGGACCGGTTCTATATACCGGTGGGCAGAGGCTGGCCTCAATGCTGCGAGGCCTGGCCGTGCCCTGAACCGTCCAGATGGACTGTTCCGCCCCAACCGGCGGGCGGCAGCCTCAAGAGCGCCGCCAGGCCCAAACGGTAATGTCGTTTGGGCCTACCCGTCGGGTCTGGTCCAAGGTGAGGCCTTTATGGCCTGTAGTACCCAAAGGTCGGGCCTTTAGGCCCTGATGTGTCCCTCTAGCCCTAAGTCGGGTCCGGTAGGACCCGTGTGGCGTCGAAGATGTAACAGGTGGGGGGGGGGAGAAGGGTATAGCTGCGATGGGCGCCGATGGTTTAAGCAAACGCAACCTCTGAAAATGTTTTGTGACACGGCAATCAGACTACATATGCACACAGGGAATAAGCATCTAATGCGACAAGTTTCATGCGATACGGTCATTCTCACTCCTCCATACAGAAAGAGTCGTACGTGCCAGAGCACAACCACAGAACCACGCACGCCAGTCACGTCTTTGGTGGACAACGAGGTTTTCCCCGGATGAAACATACGGTCATTACGCCGCTATTTGGCGCAACGTTTCGCGATCATGACCGTACGTTCGGTTCCGGGGACAAAGGTAGTAAATGTGCACAGTGACAGAGACTGTATTTCCTGCTTTCCTATATGCTATCTTCACGTCGCAGCTGCGCGTATAGCTTCTCGGCAGTGTCTTTTGTTTTTCTTTTTTGTGTCGTGTGATTATCCTGCATTGTTCTGGTGGGAAGACCAAGCTATAAAACAGACAGGTAGTACTACAAAATGGCAAGAGCACCCAAGTACCCTGCTATGGGATGAGAAAAATAATCAAAAACAGCGCATACCTGTTGGTTAAGGTGCCAATTCAAACCACATCATCACTATAATGGACCAGGTGGTCCATGTCAAAGCACACCCACAAGGGACAAACGCTGTGGCCAAGCACTGTGTTGCTTATGGTCCAGCCTTTCCAAGGTCCTCGCGGATCTCAGCCAACTTCCACTCGAAAAAACTGCACCTTCGAGAGCCCATTCCGCTCCACTATACTCTCTCTCTCTCTCTCTCTCTCTCTCTCTCTCTCTCTCTCTCTCTCTCTCTCTCTCTCTCTCTCTCTCTCTCTCTCTCTCT